ATTCTACTTGAACATCTTATCTGGCATCCGATTTGGCATCCTATCCTGGCAGTCTACCTGGCATTCTACTTGAACATCTTATCTGGCATCCGATTTGGCATCCTATCCTGGCAGTCTATCTGGCATTCTACTTGAACATCTTATCTGGCATCCGATTTGGCATCCTATCCTGGCAGTCTATCTGGCATTCTACTTGAACATCCTATCTGGCATCCGATTTGGCATCCTATCCTGGCAGTCTATCTAATATTCTTCTTGAACATCCTATCTGGCATCCGATTTGGCATTCTATCCTGGCAGTCTATCTGGCATCCTGGCAGTCTATCTGGCATTCTTCTTGAACATTCTATCTGGCATCCGATTTGGCATCCTATCCTGGCAGTCTATCTGGCATTCTACTTGAACATCCTATCTGGCATCCGATTTGGCATTCTATCCTGGCAGTCTATCTGGCATTCTTCTTGAACATCCTATCTGGCATCCGATTTGGCATTCTATCCTGGCAGTCTATCTGGCATTCTTCTTGAACATCCCATCTGGCATCCGATTTGGCATCCTATCCTGGCAGTCTATCTGGCATTCTTCTTGAACATCCTATCCGGCATCCAATTTGGCATCCTATCCTGGCAGTCTATCTAATATTCTTTTTGAACATCTTATCTGGCATCCGACTTGGCATCCTATCCTGGCAGTCTATCTGGCATTCTACTTGAACATCTTATCTGGCATCCGATTTGGCATCCTATCCTGGCAGTCTATCTGGCATTCTTCTTGAACATCCTATCTGGCATCCGATTTGGCATCCTATCCTGGCAGTCTATCTGGCATTCTACTTGAACATCCTATCTGGCATCCGATTTGGCGTCCTATCCTGGCAGTCTATCTAATATTCTTCTTGAACATCCTATCTGGCATCCGATTTGGCATCCTATCCTGGCAGTCTATCTGGCATTCTACTTGAACATCTTATCTGGCATCCGATTTGGCATCCTGGCAGTCTATCTGGCATTCTACTTGAACATCCTATCTGGCATCCGATTTGGCATCCTATCCTGGCAGTCTATCTGGCATTCTTCTTGAACATCCTATCCGGCATCCAATTTGGCATCCTATCCTGGCAGTCTATCTAATATTCTTTTTGAACATCTTATCTGGCATCCGACTTGGCATCCTATCCTGGCAGTCTATCTGGCATTCTACTTGAACATCTATCTGGCATCCGATTTGGCATCCTATCCTGGCAGTCTATCTGGCATTCTACTTGAACATCTATCTGGCATCCGATTTGGCATCCTATCCTGGCAGTCTATCTGGCATTCTACTTGAACATCTTATCTGGCATCCTATCCTGGCAGTCTATCTGGCATTCTACTTGAACATCCTATCTGGCATCCGATTTGGCATCCTATCCTGGCAGTCTATCTGGCATTCTACTTGAACATCTTATCTGGCATCCGATTTGGCATCCTATCCTGGCAGTCTATCTGGCATTCTACTTGAACATCTTATCTGGCATCCGATTTGGCATCCTATCCTGGCAGTCTATCTGGCATTCTACTTGAACATCTGATCTGGCATCCGATTTGGCATCCTATCCTGGCAGTCTATCTGGCATAAGGCTCTGGTTTGGATCGCCCTAGAGAGTTGGCAAGGTTGTGTGTGTGTGAGGAGGGTGTCAGCAGTTTGCTAAAATCTAGAGTGGGGAGAAAACCCAAATCCGATGCAACGGGTTTGAGATTCTCCTCTTGCAATCTGTAAGGAACTGGTAATGTCCAAGCACCAGTGATACGGAAAAAATGACAAAGCCATACACTGCCAAAACATGTGCTAGGAGGTGAGGCCCTGGTATCCTGGTGGAGACCCAAAATACTGGCAGAACACCTGCAATGATTATTCAGACTACAGCAAGTCTTGAATTTGTGCGAGCAGGAAATGGCTGGACAACGTAATTTAATGAATACCTATGAATATCTGAGCATGGGGGGAATTTTTGCGAAATGGACTCAACATGTCCTGTCCCCTCTCTCCGGTCGCCCACGTGCACTGGCTAAAAATGGTTTAAACATAAACATGGCATGCACGACAGGTTTGCATCATTCAGACTCAACGTTGCCATACGTGATGCCTGGCCAAATGCAGCGCATGTCTAATTCAACGTATCGTTGTCATTGCTTGTGCTTGAGGACTCTCTCCAAACGGTTTCGACCTGCCAAGATTCTGCTTCTCCAGCTGGCCACCACGGTTCATTGCTTTCCAGGTTTCACTCAAACGGTCTGAGAGTACCGCCCATTTCCTCAGTGACACAAAGGACATACACCCAACATACTCCAACATCCATCCTCTGAGCTGAAGGAATTCATGACGTGCATTTCATCACCAAGACATGTCACCGTATGCTGACTGCGGCGTTGAGCGCGCCTCAATGCACAACCCATGTTTCAGAAAAGTCACTTTTTCTGCTTTGCATCTTCTTCGATTTTGGCATCTGAGAGCGTGCTGACGACAATCGCATAGAACAGATTCCTCGTTGTGAGAGCTGGCAACCGGGGGCCAAACACAGCCAATGAAGATGTAGTTCAAACATGCCCTGAAACTTGGCCTCAACATGGGTTTGGTTGTACCCCCCTTCTCTCATCCCATCCCAAGCTGTTTCCCCTTGGCAAACATTCCCCCAAAAATCACTCCGAAGCATGGTTTTCTTATGTTTTCTGCATGCTGCATAGTCTCATGATGATGAAGAAAATACTCACCAGAAACATGATGATCAGCAGCGAACCAAGCACGGGAGACACGTCGTAAATCACAGACACATCGCTGTTCCCGAGAACGGTCAGCATGATAAATTTGAAGGCCTTCAGCCGTCAGGCACCGTTAAAGTCAGCAGGGGCACACCAGGGCACACCATGGCACACCACGAAAAAATGCGAGACACCTACTGGGTTAGCTAGCGGTCGTCTATCAGGGTTTCAAATTAGATCCCTAAACATAGTAGGTTAATGGACCTTATATGCGGCTTTGATTTCCAGTACATGGGTCGAACCCTCGGTCCTAGTTAATCTTGAAAATAACCGCGCCCTCTTCACCCTCTCTGGAAAACAAAGGGTTTTACAGTGCAATGCATGGATATAAGTACATCATCATGAAAAAAGATCGGGGTTGCGATTTGAATTTTCGGGTGTACCCCACAAGTTTTGGAGACATGTATTTTGCAAAATGATTCTAATTATAGGTGGCTGAAGCACTAGGAACCAAGAAACCGAGGTTTCTACAAATTCAGGACCAACTTCAAAATAAGTAATGATTCTAGTTCCAAGATTTTTGGTAGAAGTTTTTGCCTCTGAGGACCGGGGGAATTGGATAGCCCCAAAAAAACCCAACAAACCCTCTCAACCGTTCACATCTGGTGCCCTAACGCACTCTGTTTCCTAAAGCAAATTCAAATGGAGGAAAACCACAGTTCCATGCAAACAATGCTAATGTTAAGGCTTGATGGATGTGCCGGGAAAAACTTCAGCTGCAAAATGGTATCAACGTTTCACTTGGCACAGCCTTGGTTGCTTACTGAGTACGCATTGGCCAAACCATGGAAGAAGTGGCGATTAAAAGAAAACATGGGAAGTAAACGTTGTCCGCAAACTTGACAGTGCGACAAACAGACCGAAGATACCCGGAAAAACAATAGCAACGCATATCCAACATTCGCAACTGTAGCAACCACATGCAATGATCTCCTACATCTCCTTGGATCTCCTTGGCAAAGGTCGTCTCCTAGAGCATGTGTCTTACAGATCCTGTGACTTGCTCGGTGCTGGCCTCCTCGCAATGCACTGGTCTATAATTAACGCTCTTGACTTGGGACAGTGCGTCGCAAAGCACTTGACTACGATTTAATAGGCTATTGAACTGCTATTGTATGGAAATTTTGTTTTTTCAACGTCTATCATGGCCGTGCCTGGAAAGGCGTTCGCAATGCCGTGACGTCGCCGCCGAACGCCGTGCTGAAGGCAAGGACAAAACCCACCAGGACGCTCATGAAAACTATGATCCAGGAGACGAGATTCCTTGGAGAAATAAACTGGACGACGGATGGCCCGAGAGCGTAGAGGAGCAATTTCTTCTAGTGTTGATATCGAGGCAATATATAACAAAACAATATATTAAAGATGTATTACAGGCAGACAAGAAGAATAGTACCAAGAGAACATATTACAAGACAACAAATAGAAGATGGATAAATGTCAAGAAAAGGAGATTTCACAGGAAATCGAAGCAGATGTATATAAAGAGTTCAACATCAGACACCTTTACACGCAGCTACTGTACATCCTTTTCACACAAAAAATCCACTTCTGTGGCAGTGGGTGCTTTCATGGCTGTGGGTGCTTTGGGTGCTCTGACCTCAAAGTTTGTGGTTGTGGTGGGGCTTAGCAAGCTTCAACCTTGCCACTATGTAGCCATGTGGTTGGCAAGAGGACCTTGCTCAGGCTCGGCCATGCGCAATCAGCATGATATAATAACCATCTGCACCGACCAAATTTTCGCAAACCGACGCCCGGCGCGTTTGAATTGTGGTGCCTCTAACTGCAGGGCCGGAGCCCAGAAACGAGAGCTTGAAGTTAATGGAAATAAACAAATTCTGTTGAGTTTCATTCTTACTTGCAGGCATCAACAGCCACTGTCAAGGTCAATGATGACTAAGTCTTTAGCCAACGAAAATCGGCAAACATGACTTGGTTTCTAGATTCTGCAAGTTTGGCTGGTGCAGTGTAGATTTCACGCCAGAAAGCAGCTTGGGCCAAATTACAGATTTCTTAGTTTCTACGAATGATCCGAACACGGATGAAGTTAACTGTTTTCTCCACAGCGCAGCGACAGACCACACATCAACGCCATAGAGATTCGAGTCTTGAGCCTATAACATGAATGCCTCCGCTTTTTCCGAACATGTCGACCTACATACGAAGGTTGCGCCATGGTTTCGTCGGATAGTTTTTATGTCGCTATTTATGTTCTTTGCGTGCTTGTATTTACGGCCACCTTTTGTGAAGGATTAGAAAACGCGAAAAAATGCGCGCGCAAGTCGCTAAGAAGGGTGCAAGAAAGACAATAGAAGACAGACGCCACACAACAGGTCCACGCAGGAAAAGGGTAGAAAAAGCAAAGAATCGCGAGGGCGAAAGGCGCGCAACGGACAGTGACCACAGTAGAGAAGAGACGTTTACGCTCTGCTTCTTTGTACAACCGGGCTAATTATTTCAAAATGGGTTTAAGCTAATATAGCTTATCGACAAAATCACCGGTTCCACACAACTTGAAGCGTCAAGCCCAATAAAGGGCATATCAGGACGAAAGGTTGACACATATAAACTGAAAAGCAGCATGCCAGCCACCCGCACATGAACAGATGAAAATTCATCAAGATAAACATGTCGCTTTTCAGTGTCCCAGCAACATTAGCACCCACCAAGAATCCTGCTAATGGTGTTTTCCGTTGGGACGCGCATGACGCTTTTGGGAAAATTGCAATCTGATCAAAAAAATGTCTTGGAAACAGAACGGAATGCACACGCCGTCAAACAAGTTGTGGCTGGTTTCAAGGTGGACCTGGATGGCCCCATTTCCATCAACTGATTTTTCTACGCCGGCAGGTCGAAATCACACGGTGGCGCAGAAGCCTTCTTGAAGCCTTTGCTTGAAATTTCCTCTCAAAAAAATGCTGGATGGCCAAAACCCAGCAGCGGTCAAAACCTCTCACTTGAGAAGTCAAAGGCTTCAAGCCAAGTCCAATTCCTCAGGCGCTGCTGCACTCAGACTCCCTTCAAGCCTCAGATCAGCAAGTATTTGGTTCACTTCAAACAATGACTGGCATTATATCTGGCACATAAATTGGCTGCAACTTTCAGCTAGAAGCATGGACGGCTGCCGCTGAAGACAGCGATATTTGTGCTCGCAAACGTGCACCATCAAGCACCTGCGGTCTTCGCTATCGCCGGTGGCACCAAAAGGCCTGCCACTGCCCCCGCAACCGGGGCCAAAGTCTGAAGAAAACATGATGATTGACATGCGATGGCAGACAACCCACGGCCTGAAATCGATGATCTCATACTGGGATGATGAATCAACCGCCAAGCTGGTGTCCATCTTGAAGCAGATACTGTTGGCTTCAAGGTTGAAACCACTGCCGTAAATCCTAGCACAGTCTGTGTGCCCAGGCAAAGCATCGTCATTTTCCTGAGGTGAGAAAATCACCTGGGCTGCCTCCTTGTCGACAAAAGCTAAGATGTTCTGGAAGAGAATCCTAAATCCCAATCACATGGGCTCGCAATGAGTGAAAGCAACTGTTCAAACCGCAAACCATTGTTCAACACGATTCTAAAATAAATTACCTCAGCCTGGCAACCCATAATGGCGCTCCAGCCCATCGTTTGGGTCTCCAGTCATCATCACGACTTCGCCAATGCTCTCATAGTGCACCGTGAACAAAGACGTAAAACATAGAACCAACGAATCAGGAAAAGCCATCTTCTCAACAAGGGCCATAATGGTTGGCCTGTCAGGTGTGAAGGGACCGCCTTCGGGTTCTGGATCCCCTGGCAGCCGGCAACGAATCCATTTGATCTTGTCCTTAGCAACAGGTGCTGGGCACCAACGTGGGGATATAAGGAAAAGTCTGCAACTCAAACACCATCCAAACACTGCGAATAAATTTGCCAAGCTCTGGACAGCCTTGCTCCCGGGTTCGACACAAGCTTGGCCTATTCAAAAAATGGTCGGACAGCTGCAGCAGCACAAAATGGTGACAGCTGCAGCAGCAGCAATGGAGCATGGATTGACAACTTTGCGGGATCGCAATAAAGCGCCTTCAAAATCACGACTTGCGCGAGGCTCTTTCCCCATTGTGCCACCTGGCAAGTTGAGGCATCAAAGAATTGAACCCAAGCTGCTAAAAATCAGGTGACCCGAATCGCACCAAAAGGCTCACATTTGTGTCTCGCACGCAAGAGGCGTCAAGTGCGGAGTAAAACGTCAGTCCACATCCTTCGGATCCGGAGGCGTGAAGCCAGCTGCAACGGCCTGCTTCAGTGACTTGTAAGTCTTCTCGGTCGGTGTGTGGTCAAACAATCTCCACTTCTCACCCTTCAGGTTGCCAGCCTTCCGGATAAATTCCCGCACCTGCAGGGAAGAAGACCCTACAGTTACAGCAACAAGTAAACCCCAGAACATGTGTCTATCCGAACTAATGACAAAATCAAAACTTCTATTTCAAGACAAGATGGTTTGATCCTGCATGGCCTTCCAGTCGCCAATCACGCATTCTCGCAGGTGCTGTTGCCCCTCAACAGCCACCCACTCCCACGTGTCAGTGACTCCCCCACACCCTGGAAGGGGAGAGGCGGCAGGAGCAGGAGGAGCAGCTGCTGCAACATCAGGACCTGCTGCTGGTTTTTTCAAGACAGCGTCTGCCTCATCATCGGGACTGGTCGAAACGCAGGCAGCAGGCCTTTTCAAGGGCCTCGGCCCTTTTGCCTTTGGTTTTGCTTTTGGTATACAAGCAGCTGGGCGCTTCAAGGCATCTGAATCTGCACCAGGATCCCTGTCGTCATCACTAGCCATAAACTCATTGCTGGGCAGGCTAAGAAGGTCTGGCACAGCTGGCGCAGCAGCCGCAATTTCTGTAGATGGACCTGGAGCTGGTAAATCCGTCTTTCTTTCCGCAGCAACTGGAGCTGGTGGATCTTCCTTTCTTTCCGCGCCAGCTGGAGCTGGTGGATCTTCCTTGCTTTCGGCAGGAGCTGGAGCTGGTGGATCTTCCTTGCTTTCGGCAGGAGCTGGAGCTGGTGGATCTTCCTTGCTTTCGGCAGGAGCTGGAGCTGGTGGATCTTCCTTGCTTTCGGCAGGACCAGGTGCTGGTGGATCTCTATTCCTTTCTGCAGCAGCTGACTCTTGTTGATCGTCCAAAACAGATTCTGAAACATGCTTCATAGCTCCGCCTTCAGACATCAAACCAAAGTCACCGTCCAAGTTCCTATTCTGCAATGATTTTGCATTGTATTTCATGAAAGGGTAGCAAAAAACGGTGTAACATATCTTGTATTGTGCTACATTTTTGCAAATTTAATGAACTAATCATTCAAACCTAGTGTGTGAACTGCAACTTCATTGCCTTTAAGTGTATGGTTTTGGTGAAGTAGCAAATCATGTTGTCCCACTTTTTGGTCTTGTATCAGAATCAAATGTTTGTGTATTCTTTGTAGGTTGCTTTCAAAAAAATATATCTGTACTTTTTCTTGTGGTATGCAGTCTCTTTTATTTTCTATTCTCTGATGTTCTTCAAGATTTGTTCTGAACTATTGCTGCACGTAATTATAATACAAAGAATTTGCGGCTTATTATTACAGTATATTGAATTTCATATCCTATGGAATACTGTCTATGTTTTTATAATATATTGAAATGTTTTATGATGTTTAATTGAATGTGTTGCTTCTGAGATACTATGTTAGATTAACCTGTTTTCCAACTGATTAACCTATAGCGTTTTCCCGAACTAAATCATCATTTTATATCAGATCATTCTACTGGAAACATATCATACTATATCATATCAAATTGCAGTATCCTGTTTTGAATATTGCATTGCAAACTGTCATGTCTAGGTTGAATCTAAGACTTAACAATATTAAAAACAATTTTCTTGATTATATTGTTTGCAGATCAATTCTGTATTGCACTTGTTTAGAAAAATATTTTGTATTACTTTACATTTTGCTGTATGTTTTGTTAAATTGTTTTTGCTGTTATTTTGATGAAAGCGTAAAATGGCTATGATACGTTTTATCAAATCATATTCTAATATGCTGTTTTCAAATTTATCACGCTGTATTAACATATGCAGTGTTGTACAAATTACTCTTCTTTAAAGTTGGTTGGCGAAATTAAATCATTCAATTATTGCGTGTTACATGTGAAAAAGGTTTGCTGTAACTTTTTTTTGTAAAAATAAAAGGATACTGGTTGCAATTGATGTTGTATTTCTGATATTTGTGCTGTATGACTTGACTTGGTTCTGGAAGATCTTTTGTGATTATGTCAATATCCGTTTTCGTGCTATTAAAAGTTTAAAGATGTTTTTCTAGCCAGTTCTACAGTCATATCTCGCTGTATGTATGGTTCGAATACTCTTTTTGGAAAGCATATCAGTGAAAATAAGAAACGCCTGGAAATACAAGAATTCAGCAAAAGAAAAAATAAAGAAGGATAATAGTTGTATTGTAGAAACTATGAAACAACATATATTATTTATATAGTCGAAAAATCTTAAAGCTTTTACTCTTACATTTTTTGTAAGATTCATCAACATATGTGTATGTGTGATGGTCAAATATTGTGTGCCATCAGGCGTCCAATCACCCATGGCAGTCAAAATCTTTGAAGCCTGGTCACGGCTCCGGCAAGCTCCTCGACGTATCCGGTGAGGTTCACTATGCAAACCGCAGGGAACTTGCAGTAGCGCAAGCAACTCTCGACCAACATCTGCAGGCGCTGTGACCCCTTTTGCGCGCTCAATTGCTCGATGGAGGGGCGAAGTCTTTCGGACACCCGGACAGAGTCCTTAGAAAAAACAAGGTAGAAGGATAGCGCAAACAAAGGAGAATCTTGGACAATCAAAAACAAAAAGAAAATTTCAAATTCTGCAACACCTTGAGTTCGCAAAGCATCCGGTGAAGATGACTCGGGGATGAGAAGTGGACGCCGTGCGCGGCAGCACCGCAAGCGGAGCGCCCTCAGATGGCCTGACCCTGTGATTCAATATTTGGGAATGGTTCAATGCTTGGCTTTTTTTGCTACCCAGTTTGTCTGACTTGGCCAGTACTTTTAGCTTGTCACGTTTGTCCTGATGAGCTTGCTCAAAAGGTGGACAGTTGAGAAGGGTTCAAAGGCCTTGAGCCAACCTATCCTAGTCTCATGGATTCAAACACATTTGAGCAAAAGGGTTCCTGACAACACTTTGGAAAAACAGGTTAGTCAAGTTGGTTTCCCCTGCCTTGGCTTTTTAAATACAGACGTACGTAGATACAAACAAACAAACAAACATACAAACATACAAACATACATACATACATGCATGCATGCATGCAGACAGACAGACAGACAGACAGACAGAACATACATACAGATATACATACAAATATACATACATATACATACAGATACATACAGATACATACAGATAGATAGATACGTACATACATACATACATACATAAATGAGTCACATACCTTGTCAATGTTTGATATACATATCATGACATGCATACTACCAGATTACTACCATTGACATTTACTACCAAAAATGGATACATGCAAACATACATATGTACAATTTTACAGTTAATACATGCACAAGATACACAGATACATACACATATGTGCTTACCCACCTGCGTACCATGCCATACATACATACATGCATGAATACCATGACATACCATGACCTACATACATACATACATACATGCATAGATACATAGGTAAAGAAATATATAGATATATAGGTATATAGATATAGAGATACAGAGATACCTAGATACATAGATACATAGCATGTTTCAAGGCATACGTAACTACATAACTACATACATTCATTTATCCATTCATTCATCCATTCCTTCCTTCCTTCCTTCCGTCCTTCCTTCCTTCATACATACGAATTTATTTACATACATGCATAAATTACATACGTTACCTACATTACATACACTACATACATTACATGCACTTCATACATTACATAGTACAGACATTGCATACGAACATACAAACATGAATGCATACATACATACATACATACATACATGCAGACAGACAGACAGACAGACAGACCTACATACAGATATACATACAGATATACATACAGATATACATACAGATACATACAGATACATACAGATACATACAGATACATACAGATACATACAGGTGCAAATACATACATACTTTCAGGTGCTGAGGGAACACACATTCATACATATTTGCCAATTGATTTGTGTGCTTTGTATATATATATATATATGCTAAGCGTTGACTTATTCACTTTTTCAACTGGCTACAAACCAGTTTCCAATACCGAGATGGGTTTCCAGCTCATGCTTATCGAGGTGGTAGTCAATCATTTTTAAATTGAACCCTTCCCAGCTACTATGCCAACAGCACATAGGGGAAAACTTGGTTTCAAAGGTTTATGTGGATCACATCCCCGAACCACCCCGACAAGAATTGGAAGTTACCATAAATGTTATGCCAGATGAATGTACGCACCTCCCAAAATTATAATTGCCCTTCGCACAATGGTTTTTAATCACCAAATTTAGCTGTGCATTTTTGGTTAAGTTGTGCACCCTATTCGGTACCTTCGGGGTTGGATTCTTGGATTTTCCCCACAAATGACCCAGAGTTGGTGACGAAACTCAAATTATTATGGGGCATCCTGATATATACAGTTGGTTCTTGTACCCTTCCTTACTTTAGGAATCCTATCTTTTGGAAAAACCTTATCATTGCCCACGATACTGCAGGTGCAAACCTCAGACACAACAAGGTGGTCTTCATATCCACCCACTGAAGTGTGGGTGCGCCCCATGCCCCCTACTGGGTGCTTGGTGTGGTGGTGGAAAGAAGTGACCAATAGTTGAAGGGATATTTTACTACTAAATATGGTTTCTTACAAGTTTATAGTCAAGACAGGTGATAAAGTTAATGAACTATAGGTGGATGGTGATTAAAATTGCCTTTATGGATAGCCATTTGGTGGAACAGGGAAATGAAATCCATGAACCAACCAAAAATTGGGATGGTAAGTGGGTGACCCATGCTTTCATGTCCCGTTTTTTCCCAACTCAAAAGCGCTCACACCTGGCTAAGCCATGGAGCTGTCGGATTCGGAGGCAGAAGGTGGCTGAACCCAAATATATGTTGTTTTTCATTTTCACCATTTCAAACTTAAATGGGAAATCCACCTGGTTTTCTATGGTTTTTTCACTTGTGTACTATCCTTTGGTCACAGGACCTGCTCCGAGTAAGAAGAAACGATCCCTGCCAGTGGATGATTTGGATACTTTGCGTGAACAGCTTGGGGGGGATTGTCTCTGCAAACAGCAAAGCCCCAAGGGAGATAAGCCTTCATGCCTCTGGAAATTTAGTGCTATGCCTCTTTTTGGACGTCTTAGAGACTGGAGGACTGCGTTCAAAGAGCTGCACAAGTTGGATCAGGATCGACTAGTAACTTGATTTTTGTTTTCAGTAATATGGGTACCCATTTTCCCATGTTTCTCATCATGCTGCTCATCAATTTGAAGGATTGTTTCCCATAAATTTGAATCTTGATCCATCCCATCAACCCAAACCTGAAATTTAATTTGGTGTGCTTTATAACCTCCAATTTGGGTTTGATTTGGGCAATGCTGCAGTGCCCCTGCCAAGTTGTTTGACTACCTTCGAGATCTAGCGCTCAGCCAGCAATTGATCCAACCTCAAACTATGGATAGCTTACCAGTCTCCAATGCCAAGCTGAGCTACATCTTCTTAGGTGAACGCGTTTGCCGTGGAGGGCTTGCT